TTTTGATGTAAATGCCGAGTTGTTAGAAGGGTATAGCAAATGCGCCAACCCCGCAGAGGTGGTGGCCTTTCAGGGAAAGTACGTGGAAACGGAGGCAGTTGAAAGTGCGGCCCGACGGGAGATAGACCTAAATAATATGGACCTGATGGATGCAGTTCCACTAAACGTTAAACGGGGTAAAATGAGGAGTCGAAACAAATGGAAGAACGAAGATGGCCGCGATGAATTGGAAGAAGAGGAGGAGGAGGAAGAAGAAGAGACAAAGAAACAATTGGCGGAGCTGGAAACATCAGATGATGCAGAGTAACTTCATTGTTAGGGGGTATTGGTTTCCCTTTAAGAAATCTTTTTTTGCTGCCTTTGTTGTTATTTATTTATTTGTTTATTAGGAACTTTTGAACACAATGACTGCGAGAAAGCTGGCTGCCTTAGTTTGTGTATCCCGATAAAACGAATACACTTCTTTATGACGCTTTTCTACCGTATGATTTTTGGGAATAACACGACTTTAAGGGATCAAGAAGCCGATGGAGTCCAGATATTTTTTTTTATTTTTATTTTTAAATTTACAGACACAGCCGGGTTGGTTTAAGGAAATGGCTTTGGTTAATTTTACAATGCCTCCGAGTAAAGCGATATCGGCGACCGTTTTTCAGAATTGGTACGCCAACATGGTACCAACGAGGTGCAGATAAGGTTCATTGACGAAACTGGGGCCTTCGGATGCGACGTTAATTGTGGCCACCCCGATGACAGGCTTGCGGTCGATTCCAGGGAAACATCGCCAAACCCTGGGGGGATTCGAGCCTTACGGGACACATTACGGATCTCCGGGCGCCTCACTTACCAAATTTCGAGACTCGAGCGCTCCTGCACATCGTGTGGGACGACCCGTGAGTTGGGGGTCCAGCAAGGGCTGATCATCGCGGAGAGGCAGAGATTATGCTCGGAGTATACCAACACCGTTACAGACGTTGATAATCGGAGCGCGCGGCCTCAACATCAAATGGAGGAAGCGAATAACCACTTCTCGGCGCGCGCATCCAACATTGCGGTGGCGGACGGTCTTCTTGCGCAACGAGAATCGGCGCTTGCCGGGCGCGAACGCCATTTATAGACAGCCCTGCCCAACCCCAGGCGAAACTCCGGGAACGAGAGGCACGCATCAGTGACTTGGGGGCGTGCCAGCATCCACGTTTCCCCAACGCACTCTCACGGGAGGGAGACGGCGGGTCAACACCCAAACGTCTCAGGACAATTTTGGGCGACCACATATTCCTCACTCGATGCCTTTGCCCTCCCGCACCTTCCCCTTGGAACACGACACCGGTGCAGAGGATCAGGTACTGCATTTCCTTGCATTGGACGTCAACACTTGGGCCCCGCGTGTATGGAATGACGTCGTCTCCGGAGTCCTTGTCGACCTCCGATGCGCATACGGTTATTATTGGCACCGTGGGGATGCTCACGCTCAAATTGCCATCGACGGTTTTGTGTCGTGCAGACGCGCGCT